AAATCTGGACTCCCGAATACTCAGCAGTGGCAAGGTCCCTCTGCAACGTCCTGGAGGGGCCAGACTGAAAGCCCTGTCTGAACAAAAGAGGCAAGAGCCACCTTCCTGGAAATAAAAACTGCTTCAGAACAGGCACCAGCCCTAGGCCTGCCAGATATAAAAAGGCCCTTCAATCTCTTCGTACATAAAAAAGGTAGCCATTCTGCATTGTAAAGAGCATCAAAAGGAAAACAACCCTATAGCACAGGGGAATCGAAAGGCAGATGAAGCTACCAAAGCAGCAGCCAGTAAGGAGGCAGGGAGAGCTCCTTCCCTCACTATGGCCCTGACACCCCCGGTAGAGGCCCCTCCACCCAGGTACACTGAAAAGGAGAAAGATTGGGCCATAACTGAAGGAGCCACTTTAACTGAAAATGGATGGTGGATGTTGCCAGACAGACGTATCTTTGTCCCACCTGAAGCAACTAGTCAGCAAATAGCACCAGCTCACCCACCTGGGAAAACTGCCCTGGAGGCCCTCCTCAAAAAGCAATACTACATCAGCCAGTCACCAGCACTCTGCCAAGCAGTGAGTAGACAGTGTGAAACTTGTTGCAGAAATAATGCTTGATCTGTGCCATGACTCCCACCTGGTGTCCAAAGAACAGGAGTTGCCCCCTTTGAAGACCTTGAGATAGACTTCACAGATGTCCAGTCAAGCAGGGGACTCAGATACCTTCTAGTAATAGTGTGTACATAACTCTGGCTCTTTCAAAGTCTTCCCAACCAGAACAGAACAGAGCCGGGAGGTAGCCAAAGTCCTCCTGAGAGAAATTGTGCCCTGGTTTGGCCTACCATCTACAATTCACAGTGACAATGAGCCTGCCTTTGTAACAGATGTAGTGCAGATGTTAACTAAATCCCTCAACATTTCCTGGAAATTTCACACTGTGTACAGGCCACAGAATTCAGGGAAAGTAGAGCAAATGAATTGCACCCTCAAAGAAACTCTAGATAATTTTTGCCAAGAAACTGGCCTCCCATGGCCAGATTCACTGACCCTGGCTCCCCTGCATGCTCGCTGCACACCTGGAACTCAATGTTTTTTTTCCCCTTTTGAATTAGTGTATGGTCGCCCTCCCCCATGTCTCAGAAGCATCCCAGGGAACCTAAACCAAATAGGAGATGAGGGAGCAAGAGAATAGCTCCAAGCCTTGGAAGCCACCCTAAATAAACTACAACAATACACCATAGAGTCCGGATCTCTCTAGGAACCCCAGTACATTCCTTCCAGGCTGGGGACTCAGTCTGGGTTAAAGATTGGAAAAAGGACCCCCTCAAACCTCAGTGGACTGGCCCCCACATTGTTGTTCTAACTGCTCCTACTGCCCTCAAGGTTGCAGGCATCACTTCATGGGTAAATCATTCCAGAGTGAGAAGGGCCTGTCATCCTGACAAGAAGCACATCAGTGGGAGGCCCAGCCTGACCCCCAGAATCCTCTCCATCTTCGCACCCGATGATCGCCCTCTGACTAATGGATACCTGCTCGCCATGGATCTTGGCTCTTGTCTGAGTAATATCTTTTATTCTGGGCATTGGACTCTGTGCTGTTGCACCCCTGGACTGGACTATTCCTCAAAAAATTTGCCCTTTCTATTGTCTATTGGGTAATCATTAAATTGTTTTGCTGTGCTTACCTGTCTCTCCTAACTGAACTCAAGTCTCAGTCTGCATTTCCAAAGTACCTCTCTGTAATGTTTAACTGTACAAAAGTTATAAAGTGTATAGTGGGCTTCAAGCAAGCTACCTCCTTTCCCCTGGTAAGATTTCCTAGGTGGAACAGGCTTACCCTTTACTGATCCCTGCTCTAGTTGAGCTTATCAAGGAATGTGTTTTCTCCATACAGTTTATGTATATGTGGAGCCACTATGACTCTTTCATAAGCCAGGGAGATGATGCCCCCCAAAATAGTGTTTAAAGGGGCATCAGATGGGGGAGTGATAGGAAAAGATGTATGAGGACAGCAATCTAGCCTGGGTGGCTCCCCTCTGCCTCGCCCCCACACAACCCAAACCAAAAAAAGCACTCCCTTGGTTTCCTGCTCTGGGGAGCAATGATTCCCAAGGTTCACTCCCTAAACGCCCTCCCCCTTGCCAGCTTGCTTGCTGTGCACGTAGGAATGTTACAGATAAGGAAGCACAGATATATGTTGCCCCCTTTGCCTTTGTTTGGGGCTCAAACATTTTGGGAGATTACTCCCCTCTGAGCCCGCCGGTGTGAAATAAAGCCTCAACACTCCAAAACCTCCAAGTGCCACTTGTTTTTCCTTCAGTGATCCAGTCCAGGCTTTTTAAGTGTTTTCCTTAACAATGTGACTTTAACTAGATATCTTGGGATCAGGGAATCATTAGGAAAACTTTCCTTCCTGTTTAGTCCAGTGTCCCAAGGGAAACCAAGTGCCTACTGGTTGGAGTAACAAGAGGGAAATGTGGTTAATGAGCACATGCAGGGAGTTTAAATATCTCCCCTTCTTCAGTCCCTTGTCTTTTCCAATCTGGGACTGTATGAGACATGATTGTTGCTTCTGATCCCAAATCAGGTTTGTGAAATGACACTTTGCTCCTTCGCGATGTCCGGTGTGAGGACAGAGCTGTAGTGTCCATCATCCACCATCCAGGGGATATTCAGACTTCTCTGTTGAGAACTTCCTCTAAGAAATCCCAACCCTGTGAGTCTGATAGGCCATAAAATACACCAGGGAAGGTTCAGAGATCTTGGTTCCTGAGAACTTTGACCTGAGCTTGCCTGGAGCCTAACCAGTCTAGCCCAGAGGTTAGAGGTCACTTTTTTTTTGCTTGATTATCTAACCAATATATAATTAATTTCTTATTATAGTGTCTTATAATTAATTCATTTAATGGATGGATGTTTCCATTCAATTCAGCAATATATGGATCATTATTGAAATAAGTTATGCAAATGGAAGTACAATTGGGTGACACTATAGATGAATGGGGAGCATAATACAGTTCCAGTAAAATTAAAACATATCTGAGGGGCTTTGCTGCTCAGGGGAGTAGGAAAAGAGATTAGGTGTGCAAGAATGTGCAATCAAGTGAGTTTCTTTTAAAGCTTCAGTTTATTTGAGCATGTTTTGTATTTGATAGAAATATCCAGACCAGTACAGTAGAAGGTACCTTGCAACAGCAGATTAGGAGACTTAAATTTCAGATAACCTTCTCTCACAATGGGCACTCACCTGAGAAAAGCAATTTTATTTAATAAGTCTAAAGAGACATTATAAAGAGTTTTGCTTTGCAATTATTTAATTACTGGTGAGGATGTATATATTTTTCATTTAACCTTTTGCTTTGTGGGAAATTGTTCAAGCTTCTTGCATAGGTTTGTAGAGAGGTGTCTGAGTTTGTCCTATTGTCTTGATTCTATGCTGACAAACAAAAGTTAGAATTTTTTCCACCAACTTCACTGTTTGGCATTTGGTTCTCTTATACAAACATTTGTATTTGTAGAATGTGGGAGAGTATACAAATTTAGTTGTGTCCATTCTATCAGTGATATTGTGTCCCCACACACACATTACATATTAAAGGTAGGAAGTTCTTCTTTATATGTGGTAGTAATAATATTCTTTTACATGACTTACCCTCTTATTTAATATATATTTTCCTTATTGCTCCTCCCTTTTACATTTTGTTATTAGAACTGTTTTTAATAATACTCATCACATTTTCCTCTTTTATATTCAACTTATGATTCCCTCTTTTTCATAAGCATACTGGAATGCATTTGTATTTTCACAGATAGATGCTATAACTTTAGATACTGCTTTCTCCCTTGCTTTAAAAAAGTGTGTTTTTATATTTTCATTTCCAGGTTTTTGCCAATTTAGTCTTTAACTTGTGAACCATGTTAATGTGATTAAATTTATGTTATTCTACATATTATTTTAGAAGTTGGTATTAGATTTGTATTAAATTTTGTCTAATACAGTGAAGTGAGACTGCTGTACTTAACCTGGTTTGATTTCCTCTGCTTTTTTTTGAAGCACATAGTATATCAATGCTGGAAATTTCTGTAAAAATACATTCATTCCATCATGAAATATATGTTTATTCAGCTACTGTTCCCAGTTAAATTCTATCCTTGGCTAAATGCTAGGGAATATGTATAGCATTGATGTGAGCCTAAAGGCACTCAGAGTGTTGCAGGAAAATAAGACATGGGATTAAGTAATAATTACACGATGATAGCCCAAACATCTAAATTTTAAGTGGAAGAGGAAGGGTCATCTTCTGTGGGAATGTTTAAAAAACAGTTCATGAAGGAGATGAATCATAATAGCCAGAAAGAAGAGATGGATATTTGAAGATAGAGAGGGGTGAAAAATTCCAGATAGACCCATGAAGAGGGCTCCACAGAGAGGGAAGGCTCTGGGCCTTGGAGCCGTGATGTCTGGTGACACTGCAAGTCAAGTTTCATGATTGGAGGTCAATGCACATGAGGTGCTAATGTAAGGTTGCAGTGCGTGAAAACCTCTAAATGTATCTGTGACATAGTGAACATTTTGTAACGGGAGACTAAATCCCAACTTGACTGATTATATAAGAAGGAAATTCCTCATTGTCTTCACAAAAGTGTTATGAAGCCATGGATAGTGGCCTCCAAGATTTCAGGTTAAAAGTACAGAGTTTTCCCAGTTGTTGAAAAAGGGAATAACAATTTTCTGGGATATCATGGTATGCATCCAAATACCAAATAGAACTTCTGATTAAAATATAGAATATCGGACCTCATGGGAAAAAAGCTGATGATGGGTTGGGAATTAATATCAGAGATGGTGTAGAAACCACTGATGGGAACAGTTTGCATACAAAATTATGGATATTGACTTCATAACTGCAAAACATATATTGTATAATTTCACTCTGTTAGTAATGCCATTTTTTGTATGAAAATATATCATGTTATTTTTCTGCTTCCTGGTAGTGACATCTACCACATGAACCCAGGAAATGATACACATTTTTCAGAGTTTCTTCTTCTGGGACTTTCAGAGGATCCAGAACTGCAGCCCCTCCTATTTGGGCTTTTCCTCTCCATGTACCTGATCACTATGCTTGGGAACCTGCTCATCATCCTGGCTGTCAGCTCAGACTCCAACCTGCACACACCCATGTACTTCTTCCTCTCCAACTTGTCCTTTGTGGACATCTGCTTCACCTCCACCACCATCCCCAAAATGCTGCTGAACATCCAGACAGAGAGCAAAGCCATAACCTATGCAGGCTGCATTATACAGATGTACTTTTTCTTATTCTTTGCAGGACTGGATGACTTCCTCCTCACTGTGATGGCCTATGACCGGTACATGGCCATCTGCCACCCCCTGCACTACACAATCATCATGAACCCCAAGCTCTGTGCACTGCTTGTCCTGCTGTGCTGGGTTATCAGTGCCCTATATTCCTTGTTACAAAGCTTAATGGTGCTTCAACTGTCGTTCTGTACAGACTTGAAAATCCCCCAGTTTTTCTGTGAATTCAATCAGATGCTCCAACTTGCCTGTTCTGACACCTTCCTTAACACCATGGTGATGTATCTTGCATTAGTGCTGCTGGCAGGTTGTCCCCTCACTGGGATCCTTTACTCCTACTCTAAGATAGTTTCCTCCATACATGGAATGTCATCACTTCAGGGAAAGTATAAAGCATTTTCCACCTGTGCATCTCACCTCTCCATTCTCTCCTTATTTTACTGTACAAGTCTAGGTGTGTATCTTAGCTCTGCTGCTACTCACAGCTCACACTCAAGTGCAGTAGCCTCGGTGATGTACACTGTGGTCACTCCGATGCTGAACCCCTTCATCTACAGTCTCAAGAATAAGGACATAAAGGGGGCTCTGAAAAAATTCATTGGGAAGGCAGCTGTAAAAGGACCATTTGTCCTGGGGATGAGGAAGTGTCAATGATGTTAGGGCTCAAAGTCTCAGAGACAGAGTTTGCTATTCTTTGTTCAGATCTTGGAAGTAGAACTTGGTCCTTCTGTTTAATTCCTGAATTTTCATTTCTTTGCCTTCAAATTCTCCATCAAATTTAAGTGACCCACTTTATAATGTTTTCTTCTCTTTCTGACAGACAGAAGTAGTCCCTTTGTCCATTTCCTACTTTCTTATAGTTTTGCCCAATCTTGATCCAAATTATTAGGAAATGCCACTTATTTCCTGGAGTAGCATGAGTTTCTAATCAAATGGAACACATTATCCCAAGTATTTTTTCCTTTTGTTACTAAAAATATAGTCACAAACTGGATTATTTGTATGGAGAAAACTACTGTTGACAAGGAAGTTATGTATATAATTTCATAATGGAAAACTTGAGACCCCAGTTTTCACTTTTGTGTACATCACTCTCTTGTGTATCACCGCAATAACTGCTCTTCCTGATAACGTGGTCTTTAACTGATGGTTTGTTTTATAGGTGCTCTTTGTTATTCTCCTTAGGATCATGTTCTTATACTTCTCACAGTGCCTGCAAGAGTAATTGGCAAAATGACGAGCAATTACATGTCTCCAAGTGAAGTCGACACATAAACATGAACTTGAATAAAGTGACTTAATATGGACTTTGAGCAAGGAAGTTTAAGTATGAAGAAAATTTCCAATTGTACTAAGAAAAATATGTCATTATCATGCTGTGCATCTGCTCAATCAAGTACAGATTTTAGTGTCCATGTGCAAGGTGTTTTTTGTTGAGGTGAAAGATTGGTTGGCATGTTCATGTTTTTTTATTGGAATATCTTCCTATTTATTCAGTTAAACTGTACTTCTCAACCAGAGGCAATTTTGTTCCCCAGGAGATATTGGCCAACTTCTTTAGACTTGATACTGGCTTTTGGAGGTGTAGATGAAAGTCAAGGATGCTCTGAACATCCCACGATGCACAGGACTGACCCCTCCACAGAGAAGGACCTGGGCCAGAATGTCAGTTGCACAGAGACAGAGGAACCCTGAGGAATTTAAGATATTTATTGTGATTATTTTTAATACTCATGTGATAGCAAAAGAAAAAACTGATTATCAGAGAGATCAGAATGATTAACATAGTAGATCACATTATATGGCCATGTAATAATAACTTTATATATTAAGCCATCTTCTACCCCCACTCATCTATTGATGTACATTTATGTTGCTTCCCATATCATGGTTATTGCAAATAATGATGAAATAAACATATGTGTGCATGTTTCCTTTTTCATTGGTGATTTCATTTCTTTGGGTAAATTCTCAGAAGTGGAATTACTGGGTAACATGGTATTTCTATTTTTATTTTTGCTGAACCTTCATAGTTGCTGCTCCAATTTACATTCCCACCTACAGTGCCTGAGGATTCCCTTCCTCCACATCCTTGCCAACACTTTTCATTTCTTGTCTTTTGGATAGTGGCTGTTCTGGCTTGTGTGAGGGGGCATCTCCTGGTGCTTTGGATTTGCATCCCTCAGGCTGGCCACTTTGCTCCTCAGCATCCTCTGCCACCCCCTCTTGTCACTCTCTTTTTTTCTCATTTTCCTTGATACACTGGCTTCCAGTGAACCTCAATTTTCTGAAGCAAACAACACCCTTGGGGCCTCTGCAAGGGCAGATCCCCTTCTAGGGCATCCACTACAACAGATAACTCCAGTGTCCTCTGATACCTTCCTTGAGGTCTCTGTTCAAATGTCACCTTCCTTGCAGGTCTTGCCTGAACACCTAGTAAAACATAACACCCCATCCTCTCTTCTTTATAGTTGCTTTCATTTTCTTCACAGCTACTCTAACTATAGGATATACTATTTGACTGTTTTTATTTGTTTGTATTTTTTCTCCATTATTGGATTATGAAGACTTTTGTTTTCAGCTCTCCACACTTGTTGCCAAAGCATGTCCTGGAACATGAACTACACACATTATATACATTTCAAAGAAAGGAAAACACTCTATAAAACATTAGTATACATTACGCTTGAGCAACAGACTGACAATGGGAAAGAAAATTCCAGTGATAACTGGCACCAGGGATGTCCTCAATGGGACTGGGCCATACACATATATTGGGATTATTTTGTTGTCTCTAAAATAGAAACGGTAGTAGCAAAAGTACACACTTCCCATTGTAAAATAAATAAGTAACCGGGATGTAATGTATAGCATAAGGAATATAGTCAAAATATTGTAACAACTTGGTATGGTGATAGCTGGTACCTAGAATTATCATGTATATAAATGTTCAGTCACTGTGTTGTACACCTGAAACTAATGTAATACTGTGTGTCAATTACCCTTCAATAAAAAATAATTATCTAAAAAAAAAGAAATGGTAGTATTTATGCTTGGTTACTAAGGATTGGTAGTATAAAAACTACCCATTTATTTTTCTATATCCTGGTAGGCACCTCCAACACACGGACCCAGGAACCTTACAACAGCTTCAGAATTTCTCCTCTGGAACTTTCAGAGGATGCAGAAATGCAGCCCCTCCTATTTGGGCTTTTCCAATCCATGTACCTGATCACTGTGCTTGGGGACGTTCTCCTCACTCTGGCTATCAACTAAGCTCCCACTTGCACACACTCATGTACATCTTCCTGTCAAACCTTTCCTTTGTGGACACTGGTTCACCTCCACCACCATCCCCAAGGTGCTGCTGAACATCCAGACCCAGAGCAGTGTCATTACCTATGCAGGATGATTCGGCCAGCTGTACTTTTTCCCACTCTTCACAGGATTGGATGACTTCCTCCTGACTGTGATAGCCTATGATTGGCATGTGGCCATCTGCCTTCCCCTGCACCACATGGTCATCATGAACCCCTGGCTCTGTGGACTGCTGATCCTGGTGTCCTGGATCTTTAGTGCCCTGCATTCTTTGTTGCACTGCTTATTTTGTATCTGTCTTGCACAGATGTGGAAATCCCCTACTTTTTCTCTCAACTCACCCCATGGTCTGACATACCTGTTTTGACACCATTACCTTTGAAATAGTGATAGTTGTCACAGTTGGGCTGCTGGGTAGTGGTCCCCTGGTAGGGATCCTTTACTCCTACTGTAAGATGTGTCCTCCATGTGTGGAATCTTGTCAACTCAGGGCAAGTAAAAATCATTTTCCACCTGTGCATTTCACATCACTGTTATCTCATTTTATTGTATGATGCTAGGAGTATTCCTCAGCACTGCTGCTACCCCTAGCTCACATTCAAGTGTAGCAGCCTCAGTGATGTACACTGAGGTCATACCCACGCTGAACCCCTTCATTTACAGTGAGGAACAAAGACATTAAGCAGGCTCTGAAAGATTTCCTTATAAAACACAGCTATAAAAGGGCAGTTGTTCAGAAATAAAGCAGCCCACATAATTGCAGGGTTCAAAACCTCATAGTCAGAGATTGTATATATTGGGTTAGATTCTTGATAAGAATGTAGTAGTAAAATTTCCTCCTTTTATTTATTTCCAGGACTTTTCATTTCTTTAACATGAACTTCTCCATAGTTTATACAACTCACTTTATTAAGTTTCCTGATGTATTTCATATTGAAAAGTTTTCCTTTGATTTCCTACTCATTCAGCTTTATTATCCATGAGGGATCTGAACATTCGGGGAATTACCATTATCATGGGACTAGATGGATTTCTTAAGGACAATTTATACTCAAATTAGTATGTGATACCAAGTAGCTTTTTTTTCACTAAAAGAATAGTCATGAGAGCTTAGAGGATTAATCTGGAGGCGGCACCAGGTGTACGGGTAATGGACACAAGCAGCAGAGAAGGGCACGGCAACCAGAAAGCAGGAAAGGACTTTGTTCTCCCAGCTGACACACATGCTATCTGCCTACAACTACCTCTATCACCATGAAAAGGCAGAAGAATTTGGTCCAGTCCAGAATTACCCAGACAACCCCCGAGAGAGGGTCTGGGAAGATAGCTTGAACCAATCTTCCTAAAAATAATTCAAAATAAAGGTCATAACTATGCTGAAGGACCGACCGAGAAATATGCAAGAGCTAAAGGATCAAGTTGGGAGGGAGAGTACATAAATAAAACAATCTCTGGAAGGACTTAAGAGCAGAGTGGATGAGGTACAAGAGACTGTTAATGGAATAGAAATCAGAGAACAGGAACACAGAGAAGCTGAGAGAGAGCTAAAAGGATCTCGAGGAATGAAAGAATATTAAGAGAATTGTGTGACCAATCCAAATGGAACAATATTCGCCTAATAGGAGTACCAGAAGAAAAAGAGAGATTAAAAAGGATATAAAGTGTCTTTGAAGAAATAATTGCTGGAAACTTCCCCAAACTGGGGGAGGAAATAGTATCTCAGACATGGAAGCCCACAGAACTCCCAACACAATGGACCCAAGAAGGACAACACCAAGACATATAATAATTAAAATGGCAAATATCAAAGACAAGGGCAGAGTATTAAAGGCAGCCAGGGAGAGAAAAAGATTACCTACAAATGAAAGCCCATCAGGCTATCATTAGACTTCTCAACAGAAACCTTACAGGCCAGAAGAGAATGGCATGATATACTTAATGCAATGAAATAGAACGGCCTTCAACCAAAAATACTTCATCCAGCACGATTATCATTTAAATATGAAGGAGGGATTAAACAATTCCCAGACAAGCAAAATTTGAGGGAATTTGCCTCACACAAATCAGCTCTACAGGATATTTTAATGGGACTGCTCTAGATGGAAGCACCCCAAAGGCTAAATAAATGTCACCAGAGAAAATAAAATCACAACAAAGAAAGCAGTCCAATGAAAGACTAAATAAAGGCAAAAAATAAAATCAATTACTCAAAAAAGCAGTCAAAGAAACACAAAAGTGTACAGAATAAAACACCTAACATATAAAGAATGGAGGAGGATGAATAAGAAAGGAGAGAAATGAAAAATCATAACACTGTGCTTATAATTGCTTAATAG